TTCTTTTTAGCTTTTAGACATATTCTAGATACCGGTAAATTGTCTGCGACTATATAAATAGAAGTAAAGAAAGAAAGAAAAGGCTTATTTTTTTTTATTTTGATATAGGTATGTACTTACCAACTTACTCAACTTCATAAATCAAATCATTGTCATTAATACCACCTTTAACGTGGTTTTGTGTCTTTTAGGGAGTACTGAGTGTTTTTTTTTTAGTGGGTAAAATCATTATAATAGGCGCTTTTCCCGACGGAACTGGGAAGCCGTCTCTTCTTTCTGCGAAGCAGTGATGCTTGCAAAGGAGGAGGCGGAGCGCGTGAGAGAACTCCTCCTCACGCCTCAGCCGCCGCACTAGTCGACAGCGCAGGTCTGTGGACGGCGAATAAGGATAGCTCGCCGCCCGATCAGAACCAGACTACAAATAGACCACCACAGACGGGGCCCTATAGGGCTGATGTCCAGCCGGGGTTCCCGCAACCCCGGCTGGACATCAGCCCTATAAGCGCAATGAATCACCGCCGCCTCCGCATAAAGCAGGAGAACGGGAGGTAAACCCTGGCTGGAAGAACTTATGATTTTCCCCTCACAAAAAAGGTGCTTTTACGGCGATGCCGCAGGGCGGGAGGGAGTGTCAGACTCTTACTGACTAAAATCCACCCCGTTCCTTCTCCTACTCTGGGCTGAGGTTGCGGTACCTTATTGCTAATATCACCCTAATCCGAATGTAGGGAAATGCTATAAGAAGATAAAAAAAAAAACAACTTTGAAAATAAAATCTAGGTATATTTTATTACTATAAAGTTTCAGTCTATTATGTAACAAATTTGAGCCTCTCCAAGTAAAAAGTACTTATTATGAAACATAGATAATAATATATTGAGCAATACTATTTAAAAAAGAGAATCAACAGATACAAAAATGAAAAGATGAAGGCAAAATGTCGCAGATTATAAAATCAGGAATTTCTAAATATGCTAAACACAAAAAAAAAACTAATTGTATTGTCTTAGATATAAAAATAAATTAATTAAAGATATCTTTTATGATCCTATAATATTAACAGTAATAATAAATAACAATATTGTAAAACTTAAGAGCGCCACTATCGCATCGCCAACAAACTGTCGTAAAACAATTTTGTGAATAAATAAAAAAAAAATTAAGTTTACTAACCATATATTATATTATACATATGATACCTACAGAAAAAAAAATATGTATAACAAGCAATAAAAAAAAATTGCAAATCTATGCATAAACAACGGAGTTCTGAGGTAAAAAACAAAAAAATAAATAAAAAAAGTACGATCGAATTGAGAACCTCCTCCTTTTTTTGAAGTCGTTTAAAAATAGAAAACGATCACTAAGGTTACAAACGTATTTTGTTTTTGGAATGTAGGACGGAGGACGGGTTGCCTGATGTAAAGGAACCATCATACATGTGCAGTGTTCATGAACATCCGAAATAACTGAGGAGTTACGAGTGCGTTGCCGACCTTTTGGGGATTAGGGGTTTTGAGATTTTGGGATTGGGGGAAGGGAAGGATAACGCTTTCGGTAACCTCACTCACACGGCGAAACAGAACCCTGTGTTTATTTCACGTCGGTTTTCTGTGAGGCCGTGGTATCTCCGGTCTAGCCGACCCATTCGTGTCGAAGCTTGGCTCTCCCACACTTGAAGAGATGAGATTTGGTGATCATTTACTACTTTTGGTGTTCGAATACAATAATTTGTAGTGCAAGAATTCAGGGTATCAAAGCTTGTATATGTAGGAATGGTGGTTGTTATATTTAACCACATCCAAACTTCCAAACTAATATTTAGAAATGCGAAAGTAACTCTGTCTGTCAGTCTGTCTTTTCTTCACGCCTTAACTACTGAACCGATTTCTGTGAAATTTGATACAGTCATAGTTTTGAACTCGAGAAAGGACATAGGATAGTTTTTATACCAAACATCTGCAGGAAGTCACTATTCCACGCGAACTGAGTCGCAGGCGAAAGCTAGTACTTATATAAAATTTCATGGATATAAAAACAAAAATCGTTAAAAACCTACGCCATTTTGCCTTCTTAAATTAACATTTTCGAAGCTTAAGGTTATTTATTACATTATTGTACTTAATTTAATAATATGTATGATGCATTCTTCCATAATATAGGGTGACTGGTAATTAGTGTCTGATATTTAAACATGTGATTGTATTCATGATAACAGACAACTTTTCCAAAGAAACCTTTTTTCTATAATCATTAGTTTAGTTTTTATGACCTACTATAGAAAAAGTAATGGCGGCCTCGCGGCTAACAGCTGATCGGACGACGCATGGCGGGCGCGCGAAGTTTTTAATAACAATAAAAATAAAACTCATGAGTGTAGAATAAGTTTCTATTAAGGCTGATTTTTCGATGGTTAGATAAAAGTTACCTGGGGAATATTTATGATGCTGTCGCGTCACAATGTTTCTATAAGACAGTGACAGCAAAAATTTTATTCCTCAGATATCTAATAAAAATAAAACTAATGAGTACTTACAGAAAAAGTTTCTTTAGGCAAGATGTTTGTTATCATAAGTTTGAAACTTTACGATTTTCATTTGAATATTGATTTTTGTTATATACTTTTGTGGACTACTTTTTTTTGTAATTTTATTTGATAGCACAAAAAATGAATGTCTTTCAAACTGAAAAAAAAAAATTGTCTTTTACCAAAAACAACGACGTACTCACGTGAATAGGGTAGTTTTCAACAAGTCAAATTTAATACTTTAATACAAATGTCAAAAACGATACTTTCTATGAAATTTGTATGAAAGTCCAAGTCATTATATTTTTTCTTTAAAATTAGCTTAACAAAATGGAAAATTTACTGTGCTGACAGATTAATAAATTATTTTTTGACCTAGGAAACTACCCAATTGACTGAGAAAAGCTGTACTATGTAGTTTAAAGTCACAACGGGACACTTCTTCATGATCAGCGTGCGCGTCCGGCAACGTCGCGCAGCAGACTGATTTTCTCAGTAAACCCGCGCGAATAATTCGATATTTAAGTAAATTTTGTACATTTCACGATAGTAACTATTCAAAAATACTTTTTTACGAATGCACTTGGGTGTATACAAAGTAGTTATAGATAGATTTATGTACTTGTTTATAGTAATTAAGCTAAGAATATCTAATAATAAGTAGTACATTATGGTTACAAGTGTGTAATGTTTTTGATTACTGCTGTCTTAAGGAGCCGAGGACTGTAATCATCAATACACACATGTATCAAACGCCTTTTTTCAACACACTTCTGAATAAAATAATTTATTCTTAAATAAATAACTTGTGAAAAATGTTTCGTAATGGCGGGTAAATTAAATCAGTTTTAATATGCGCGCGCATCGGCCATAGACTACAAAATGAGATTACTTTTTTTGAGCTTTTCGCAGATAGCATTAAGTATTTTTAGCGGAAGTGGGAGAGTAACTCAACCAGTATTTTAAAAAAGAACTCACTCATTTTTCTTTACTATTATTAACTCACTAGTGAATAATAGTAATGAAAAAGGCACAGTTTGATTATAGGTGTCATTGCGTGCCTAATTGCCGTGGGATTAGAGCCACTTTATGATGAAGCGTGTTGAAAAAATTATTACTTACATAAAATTATAAGTAATTTCTACAGAAATCCTTAGCTAAATTATACTTAAGTACTTACTAAGTTATAATTATTACAACATTTCATACGAATAATCTAATTTCTAAGGAATTATCAATTTAAGTAGATACAAGAAAAGAAAATTCCCCAAAAATGTAGATTTAAAAAATTTAACTTTGTAATAAACTATTTTGAAAACATAACATTTTTTATATAAATAGATAGTGATGTATGTATACATAAGTTCCTACTAATCCTACTAATATTATAAAAATGTGATAATTTGTGAGAATGTATGAATATAAACCTGGATAGGTACATGTTTGTTAGGTATAGGTTGTTACTTACACGCAAAAACGGCTTCACCGATTTTTCTAAACCCTGGACTAATACATAGGCTACTTTTTATCGAAAACTAGCATATTATAAGTAATCGTACAAATATTAAGCCATGTCAAAACTATTTTTTTTTTAAATACGAATCAACAATCAACGTTCACTAAATGCGGTTACCGTTTTTGCTCACAAGATGGCGCTAAAGCGAGTCTTCCAATAGGGAATTAGCTAGCGACCCACCATTGGTCGTTACATTTCTGATATCAACAGTGATTGGATAATATTAACCTCACATTCAAATGGCGCAATCCCGTAAACAAAGAAAACATATGTTACCGTCATTGGACTTTTTAAAGAAGACAATTCACAATCGTATGGTTAATTGAGAAGCCATTTTTCACATGCGTGTAAAAGTAAAAGTACCTACATTAAAAATTTAATATTTTGTTTCTAAACGCTTTCTTACATAAAAACAACATTAGAAACACGAATATTGTGTACTACGTAGGCCCAATTGACAATTTATTAATAAAGTATAAATATTGGTTTTGTTAACGACAAAAATTGGTCGCAAAAGCTTTGAAAATCTTTGACAGTCTGGAATATTTTAATGTATTGCATTAAAATATTCGATATTATCAATATACATTATCTACATGGATATTATTATCGATATTCATTACATGGATTTTTAACGTTTATAACAAAGTCGATTGTCGGAAAAACTGCCAAGTTTATTATTATATAACATAGTCAAGATTTAAGTACCTACTTAGCGATTATAGAAATTCTATTACCTATTAGCTGCGATAGGAAGTGGATTTAAAAGAAATAAACTGTCAATGGTTTTCGCGCCAAATCATAAAAAAAGTTACGCCTCTTTGGCAACACAGATAAAAAATCCAACATAGACTATCAAATAAATATTTTTGAACCTTAATAGGGCTGCTGTTCTAATATTATATTATTACCTGATATAAATTAAATTTGAATTTATGATAAAGTTATTAATTAATATTATCGTCCTCTGTTAGAAACTTGTGATTTTCTGTGCGATTGCATAATAGTGTCAAGCACCACTGACGCTGCGTTCACTTTACTGCATCTGTTGACATAGAAAAAAGGTAATACATTTATTAGTCTGTATTTGCAATTTAAAACTAGAGGATCATAACCTCGCCCAAAATGCCTCAATTTTCGAATCCCCATAAGACCGGCAACACAATCTATACTCTTTTGATGTTGGGGGTATTCATAGGCTTTGATTGCTTAGGTACCTACCATAAGGATTTTAAATAAACCGAATCGACAGATACAACAGCCTAATAGAAAACAGCGTTGTGTTTCGCCGTGTAAGTGATGTTACCGAGGAGGCCCAATCCTTCTCTTTACCCAATCTCTAAATCTCCAAAACCCTAATCCCCATAAGGTCGGCAACATAATTGAGACTGTTCTGAAATGACGTGTATCCACAGGCGGTGTTAATTGCTTTACTATGAAGACATGATAATGATGGTAAGCAATCAGCGTCGCCCATGGACACCCGCAACGAGGGGAGGAGTTACGAGTGCGTTGTGGACTTTTTGGGGATTAGGGTTTTGGAGATTTTGGGATTGAGGCGAGCAAGGTTTGGGCCTCCGGTAACCTCACTCACATGGCGAAACACAACGCTATAGTTGTTTCACACCGGTTTACTATGAGGTCGTGGTATCACTCCGGTCGAGCCAACCCATTCGTGCCGAAGCATGGCTCTCCCACACTAATCTTTTCGTATCTGTACTGCCACTCACCTAGGGAACATCTCGTTGCACTTCAACTCTGTCCAGCCAGTCAGTACTTCGTATAAAAGCGTATCAAGCGCTTTATTCGCCGCTAGTTCTCCGGTCAACATTCGAAGGGCAACCCTGAAATGGAAAAAACATTAATATTTTAGTGTCAGAACGTTTTCGTTTCCGTTTTTAACCGACTTCAAAAAAGGAGGAGATTAATAAAACACTATCAATTCTATGTGCTACCTATTCATAGGTTTGAAGTCGGTGCCAAGCCCTAAACAGAAAACGAAATTTCCACAACCAACAACGAAGCTACCTACTACAACTTTTAACAACCCACGAGTTACGTTTAGTACGAGAAAACTTTCAGAATTCATAATTTACCCGAATATAAGCTATATATAATTTCGCATGTAACGAAACCATATAGACTTCTGATTCTACGCTAAGGCCATCAATCAAATGCTTATTATATTTTGTATTAGGCTTGGCACCGACTTCAAACCTATGAATAGGTAGCACATAGAATTGATAGTGTTTTATTATTAATATTAAAAGTATTAGCTTCGCGTACGTAAGAGTGGTATTAAAATATCCATTTTAATTATTTGACAGTTTTTTGTTTTTGAAGTCGGTTTTTTTAAACGTAGTTTTTTTTTTAACTGACACCCGGTTTCCGAAAGGCCGATCAATGTTAAAATCAATTTAATCTCTCGTCAAGTCATCTGATTGGTTGACTGAAAATTCAGTCAACGAATCAGATGACTTGACAAGAGATTTAACAGGAGATTACCTAGTTAATTTTAGCGTTCACAAGCCTTTCAGAAACCGAGTGTAAGTCTGTAAGCAAAAACTAGCAAAAACTATTATTAGACGTTGTCACGTCAAAAAATTTCACATTACATGACATCATCAGCCTATACGTGCCCACCGCTGAGCAAGGGCCTCTTCTTACAATGAGAAGGTTTGAGCATTAGCCACAACGCAAACTTTAATAAGAAATAATAGTCCAGTGTGATTCTGTAAGACTTCATTCTAAACTTCGAATCTGAATCCGCTGTGAGTAGTAGTACACTAGCGCTACACTTGCGAGTTGAACTAAATTGACAGCAACATTTTGATAGATAAAGTATGAGATTACGTTAAAAGTGGCATTCTATAACGTTATTTGCCCGTCGCTTCGACGCTCACTTCACACTCGAACAAGACAAGACTCAAATTCAAACAAATTTTATAGAATCGACGTATGTCAGTGATGTCTAAATAATCTTTAAGTACATATAACTCGGAAAAGGTCACATTGGTACTTGCCAGGTTTCGACCCCTCACGCACGAGAAGCGGGGGCCTAAACCAGGCCACCACGATTACTAAAATACAAAAGATTTGTGAACTCACCCGTTTATTCTCGCCATGGTTCCGTACGGCGCGTTAAGTTTAGTAGTTGCTGCTAAATTCCTACAATACAGCAACCAAACACAATCTAATTCCGTATAAAAACTTCCGTTGCTGGCAACACCTTGAGTACTGTCAAATGAGGTCTGTAAGTGATTTAACGCGTGAGTGTTGCCATCAATGTTGCGTGACATTTGGTTCTGTATGTTGGCAGCTTGCTGTTCCTTGTTCGTGATTTGATTGAGAATATTTCTGAAAAAAGAAATATTTTAAAATTGAAATCGATTATAAAGATGTCTATTTATCCTATGACTTTTTATCTATCTTTATATATAAAAATGGATAGCAAAATGTGTTGTAAGCGCATAACTCAACAACGCCTGGACCAATTTTGCTCACTTTTTTTTGTTGTGTTTTTTATTGTCAGGAGACAGGAGAAAAAGTGACCCTTTGATAGCAAGATAGTTGGACCCGTGCGAAGCGGGGGCGGGCCGCTAGTATGATATACAGATATGTAACATCAAACGTTAAAGTTTGGCGAGTTTAGATGATATGGACACTTTTTTGTAACTTTATTTATTTATTTAAACTTTAATGTACACAAAACAAGTGATGGTACATAAGGTGGACATTAATGCCATATGGCATTCTCTCCCAGTCAACCTTAGGGTTAAATAGGGAATCGGCGAAAATATACTTTACTATACTGAATAAATTATAAAAAAAATCTTATATATTAACAAAATGAGGTTCACAATAATATGTGAAACTCAGATTGTTAATTTTTAAAATGACGATTGAGCGTTCGGTCTCTATGCCATGAGGTTCCCGGTGTCGCCAAGCTCATATATACTTCTTCTTCCCCGATTCTTCCCATCTTCGGAGTCTTCTATCCCCAGTTCCTTCAATTCTAATCCGCTGCCAAGCCACATAAAAATACTTACTTAGTATTCTTGTAAGCTCTCCCAAGATGTATGGCTGCACGAGCAGTGCTCATGCCGACTTCCATGATATTTTCCAGAAGGTTCTTTCCAATGTCCAGGTCTTCGATAGGGTCTTGGCGTGGATTCAAACGTTTACTGAAAAAAAAAAGGATTTATTTAATGATTAACAGTTCGCTCATAGTTATACTTAACCTAACTTCTACTGAGATATTAACCCTGTTGGCATGGGCATGCTGCTAGCTTAATATCTTTAAGTAATTTTTTCATCTATACTAATATTATAAAGAGGTAAAATTTTTAAGTTTGTATGTAGGGGGCAATCTCTGGAACCGCTGATCGGATTGCCAAAATTGTTTCACTGATAGATAGCTACAATGTTCCTGAGTGCCATAGGCTATTAACATCACTCTACGATCAAATGGAGCCGAGCAGCAGGTGAAACCGCTCTTTTCTACACGCCTAAACTACTGAACAGATTTCTGTGAAATTTGGTACAGACATAGTTTGGAGCTCAAGAAACGACTTTATAACAAAATCTACAAGATGTCACTATTCCATGGGTACGGAGTTGCGGGCAAAAGCTTAGTTAAGGAATAAAAAAATACTTACAGGAATAAAGAGCTATCGTGAGCGATCTCATTCTGTTTCATCTCAACTTTGCTGGGGTCTAAAAAGAGGGCGTTGAAAGCGAACACATCTGGATCCTGCAGCATCTTAGTCCGAGCCAGTTCCTGAAATTATTTAGAGAGCATTTTTTATGTAATAGGTCGGCAAACGAGCAGACGGATTACCTGATGGTAAGCAATCAGCGCCGCCCATGGACACTTGTGATACCAAATAATAATAATTCGTTTATTTCAGATAAGAATCCATAATGTCTAGTAAAATAATCAAACAAAATTTATTAAGAATGAAAAACAAATTCAATTAAACATAAATCTAGTCAAACAAACACAGAATACACAAATACACATAAAAAACAACTTCTGACAAAACAGTACTTAGACAATATACTACAATAATAAATACAATTCCATTTCCGTTAAATACTTACTTAGCTAACAATAATAATAACTACCTATTTAATAAAAGGTCGAACTGGCATGTAGCACCGTCCACCTCTCAAGAATAGGCGAGTCCCACCGCTCGGACAATACTTTTAGGATGCCGTTAGTGCTGCGCTTAAAGCGATTTAAGAGCTAGGCACTCCGCTTCCTTATTATGGCAAAAAAGTCATCTGTGTGTGCCTGCGCGAACATAGTAGAAGAGCTGCAAAACCGCGGCAACCCTAACAGCATCCTAAACCAAGGAGTTACTGCTAGTGCGTTGCCAGTATTTTGTGGGTTATTGAGTATGGGGGTCCCATTGTTAAAAAGCAGGGATGTTAAAGAGCTCTGCAAACCCAAACCGTAACGATCAGCACGTCGACTCTATAAAATTTGTTTGATTTAGAATCTTGTTCGAGTGTAAAGTAAGCGTCGAAGTGACGGGGAAATTACATTATAGAATGCCACTTTTAACGTCATCTCATACTTTATCTATCAAAATGTTGCTGTCAATTTAGTTCAACTCGCAAGTGTAGCGCTAGTGTACTATTACACACAGCGGATTCAGATTTGAAGTTTAGAATGAAGTCTTACAGAATCACACTGCAGATACCCGATGTTATAAACCGGAACCGTTTCACAAGTTCCGTATAGTTTCGGATAAAGGCAGAGTCCATGTTTCGACAGGTGTTTGTCTTTTATCGTCCTTTCAGAAACTTCATTACATAAATATTTTTTTTTGTGTGATATTATTCCACAAACGAGTTTTCGGATTACCTGATGGTAAGCAATCAGCGCCGCCCATGGACACTCGTGATACCAAAGGAGTTACGAGTGCGCTGCTGACCTTATGGAGGTAAGGGTTGCAAATAATTAAGCATTGGGAAGGGTTGGGCCAACCTCACTCACACGGCGAAACACAACGCTATGGTTGGTACATGCCCCATTCGTGCCGATGCATGGCTCTCCCACACTTAGTTTGTAGCAAAATTCACAATACTAACCTGATTCTCCCATGCCATCAGCTGAATATTGTGCAGCAGCATAACATCCAGGGTCAAAATACCAAACGACAATAAATCAGTGCTATTAGCAACTATAACTTTTCTGCTGCTGTTAAAATGAGTATAATTTTCGCCAAAATACATATTTCTTAGTTTGTTCATCACAATTGTAACATTGCCTTCGACCAAACTCTCGTTAAGGGCTTTTAAAAGCGATCCGAAATCATTACTGTCTTTTCTGGTCTGGTTAGCATTGAAATCTGGATCTGTCGACACCCAATCGTGGAGTTCTTGAATTTTCTCAATCAAATAATTCGTCATCGAGTTGCTCTGCATATAGTCGTCGTAAAGATTCTCGTCGTTGTAAAAATAATCGTCTCTACCTGTAATTAAAATAGCAGTTTTTAGGGCTGATTTTTCAATGGTTAGATAAAAGTTACCTGGGAAGTAATTATGATGGTGTCGCGTCAGAATGTTTGTATAAGACAGTGACAGCAACAATTTTATTCCTCAGATAACATTTATCTGACTATTGAAAAATCAGCCCTTAATCATGTTATTGGTTGCCTAAGTTATAGTTTTTTTTCGTGAGGGGAAATCATCAAATGACTTCTCCCGCCCAGGGTCGGGTAGGAGGGAGTGTCAGACTCTTACTGACTAAAACACCCCGTTTCTTCTTTTACTCTGGGCCGAGGCCGCGGTGACTCATTCCTTAAAGTAAGTATGAACTTGTAATAAAATTTCTTTGACTGTATACTATTTGTAGCTGGCTGGTTTTAGTATCACTGTAAGTTAAAATTTTGGACAACATAATTCAAAATTCAATTTAAGAAAATGTGTGATTTACATTTAATTTTGTTTTTCGTAGTGTCAAAATGAGTATGAATTAAATGAATAGATTCGAACCATTTTAAAATTTTACCACCAAAAAGCTAAAAATGCAAAGCCAGCTGTGAAAAAAATTGCTATGTTTATGAAAACGAGCAGACGGAATACTTGATGGTAAGCCATCGGCAACGCCCTCGCCGTACTCGTTATACCAAAGCAGTTACTTCAAGTGTGTTGCCAAACTTTTGTGGGAGTGGGATATCACGGATTTAAGGATAGGGGATTTAGAGATTGAGGATGATGAAGCAAAGGATTGGGCCCTCGGTAAACTTATTCACGCGAAGAAACACAACGCTATTATTGTTTGACGCTGGTTTTGTGAGGCCGTGGTATCACTCCGGTCGAGCTGACCCATTCATGCTGAAAAGCATGGCTCTCGCACATACTTACAATTATTTAACAATAAAACTTGAAACTCACCATCCAAATATCCATAAGGCAATTCCATGTCAATGCTTTTCCCGAATCCAGCCAATAACGGTTTAAAACTAGGAACGAAATCTTCCGCTACATTCATTTTAGTATCATTGACTTCAAATTTATCTACGATTTCATTATTATCTCCATGTATTACAGCGTTTTTATCGTCAACATCATTAGGTTCAGCTATATCTATTATAGCAATTTCAGCTTTATCCTTCTTCTTGATCGGACGGTCTTCGTGTACAATGTCCTCGTGAATAGGGTGGATTTGGGTCTTAGATATAAGACTCTTTTGTTCTCTGTTTGGGATGACATTTTTGAATATCGATAGAGTTTCCATTACAGCTGTGTCTTCTGTTGTCTGGTCTTTGTACGTTGTTGATTGGTGTTGCTTTATGAGTATAGGTTCCTGTAAGGTAAACGATTTTTATGATGACATTTCATATACATATTAGCGACTAACTTCACACTGGTGTAATGCTGATACTAAATTTCTCCACTATTTAATGGATGTTACCTATACTAATATTATAAAGAGGTAAAATTTGTAAGTTTGTATGTAGGTGGTAACCTTTGGAACCACCGGTCGGATTGCCAAAATTCTTTCACTGATAGATAGCTACAATGTTTCTGAGTGCTATAGGCTATAAAACATCACGCTACGATGGAATATGGATCGATCAAAATGGAGCCGAGTGGCGGGTGAAACCGCGTGAGAGTAGCTAGTTATACATATAAACCTCCCTCTTTAATCAGTCTATTTAGATAACAAATAGTATCAAAATCCGTTGTGTAGTTTTAAATATTTAAGCTCACATAGAGATTCAAGGACAGAGAAGAGACTTGTTCAACCCGCGGCTTTGCCCGCGTGGTATGTTGACAAAAAGCAGCCTATGTGTTAGTCCAGGGTATCATGTATCTACATATATACGATACTAGCTTTTGCCTGTGACTCCGTTCGCGTGGAATACTGATTCCTGCAGATTTTTGGTATAACTATGTCCTTTCTCGAGTTCCAAACTATGTCTGTATCAAATTTAACAGAAATTGGTTCAGTGGTTTAGGCATGAAGAAAAGACAAACAGACAGAGTTACTTTCGCATTTATAATATTATACATAGTTTCGATTTCAACCAAATCTCTCCAGCCGTTTTTGCGTAAAATAATAACATAAATACATCCATACGTTCTCAGAAACTTTCGCTTTTATAATATTAGTAGGATATTAGGGTTGTAGGTTTCTGTAGTTGCTCACCGGTGATTGGAAAACTTCTCTCGTGGTGAAGGTTTCAGAGGTATCCCATTTGGTGATCACCACCGTGGCGAGCACAAGAGCTGCGCAGACAGCGAAGCAAGAAGCACTGGCGATGATCCAAACCTTTAGAGGGACCTGAAAACATTAATACTATTTTCAACATATCTATACTATTATTATAAAGAGGTAAAATTTGTAAGTTTGTATGTAGGGGGTACTCTTTGGAACCGCTTTTCGGATTGCCAAAATTCTTTCACTGATAGATAGCTACAATGTTCCTGAGTGCTATAGGCTATAAAACATCACGTTACGATTAAATGGAGCCGAGCAGCGGGTGAAACAGCGTGATCGTAGCTAGTTTGCTCATAAAGTGGCTCTAATCCCACAGCAATTAGGCACTTATTGACACCTATAATCAAACTGTGACTTTTTCATTACTATTATTCACTAGTGAGTAATAGAGTTTTTTTATATTATTGGTTGAGTTACGCTTACACTTGCGCTAAAATGCTATCCGTGAAAAGCCCACAAAAAGAAAACGTCATTTTTAGTCCTTACTTTTGAAGTTATTTTGTACTATTATAAGCTTCTTTCAGTGGCTTCGCCAAAGATAAAAAGTAGGTATTCCATGTTTTATTCGAGACTATCCGAGGTAGTTGTGGCCCGGAGGTTATAGCTCCCGCTTCTCATGCATGAGGGTGCAAAACCTGGCAAGTACCGATGTGACTTATTCCGAGTTATATGTACTTTTTGTGATTACTTAGACACCACTTACATACGGTGAAGGTAAACATCGTGAGGAAACCTGGACTTATAATTTCTAATTATAAGTTTGAAATAGCCAACCCGCCTTGAGCAAGCGTGGAGATTAATGCTGAAACTTTCTCCGTGTGAGAAGAGGCCTTTGCTCAGCGGTGGGCACTTATAGGCTGATGTGTATGATCGGAAGGATCTTAAACTCTTTATTTGGTAGATACGTATATTTGTTGTCCAGGTTTCCTCACGATGTTTACCTTCACCGTATGTCAGTGGTGTCTAAATAATCATAGAAAGTACATATAACTCGGAAAAAGTCACATTAATACTTGCTAGCTTTTCGAACATGCGCACTGAGACTTGATACTTGAGTCATAACCTTCGAGCGACCACGACATATACAACTCACACAACAATAATAATGATTAAGGTCATTGATATACGAAAAGCAATGTTAATTTGAGGGCAACAAAATGGAAATTAGAATGATACAAACAATAGTTTTATCCGGGACTCGATGTATGACGGTTGGTCGTGGCGGTAACGGCCGGCGAGCGTTCGGCATTCGTTCGGGAACACTCGGGTATTTTCGGCTCCAGTCTGTCGCGACCGTAGTGGTACTTTCACATGACACAGACGATGATGGCCGCTTTTCATATTCGTATTGAAACATCTTCTGTAACAAGTAAAAGTTGATTAAAAGTATTATTAACTAATACTAAGACTAGCCTCAAAGAGCCATTAGACTACCACAGACGGGGCCCTTTAGGGCTGATGTTCAGACGGGGTTGCATTCTTAACATAGAGAGACTCCTCCGTGCTGAGAGCTCGGGGAGACAGGCCCGGCCGTTGTACTAACATTCTTAACATAGAGAGACTCCTCCGTGCTGAGAGCTCGGGGAGACAGGCCCGGCCGTTGTACTAACATTCTTAACATAGAGAGACTCCTCCGCGCTGAGAGCTCGGGGAGACAGGCCCGGTCGTTGTACTAACATTCTTAACATAGAGAGACTCCTCCGCGCTGAGAGCTCGGGGAGACAGGCCCGGCCGTTGTACTAACATTCTTAACATAGAGAGACTCCTCCGTGCTGAGAGCTCGGGGAGACAGGCCCGGCCGTTGTACTAACATTCTTAACATAGAGAGACTCCTCCGTGCTGAGAGCTCGGGGAGACAGGCCCGGCCGTTGTACTAACATTCTTAACATAGAGAGACTCCTCCGTGCTGAGAGCTCGGGGAGACAGGCCCGGTCGTTGTACTAACATTCTTAACATAGAGAGACTCCTCCGTGCTGAGAGCTCGGGGAGACAGGCCCGGCCGTTGTACTAACATTCTTAACATAGAGAGACTCCTCCGTGCTGAGAGCTCGGGGAGACAGGCCCGGCCGTTGTACTAACATTCTTAACATAGAGAGACTCCTCCGTGCTGAGAGCTCGGGGAGACAGGCCCGGCCGTTGTATTAACATTCTTAACATAGAGAGACTCCTCCGTGCAGAGAGCTCGGGGAGACAGGCCCGGCCGTTGTATTAACATTCTTAACATAGAGAGACTCCTCCGTGCTGAGAGCTCGGGGAGACAGGCCCGGCCGTTGTACTAACATTCTTAACATAGAGAGACTCCTCCGTGCTGAGAGCTCGGGGAGACAGGCCCGGCCGTTGTACTAACATTCTTAACATAGAGAGACTCCTCCGTGCTGAGAGCTCGGGGAGACAGGCCCGGCCGTTGTACTAACATTCTTAACATAGAGAGACTCCTCCGTGCTGAGAGCTCGGGGAGACAGGCCCGGCCGTTGTACTAACATTCTTAACATAGAGAGACTCCTCCGTGCTGAGAGCTCGGGGAGACAGGCCCGGCCGTTGTACTAACATTCTTAACATAGAGAGACTCCTCCGTGCTGAGAGCTCGGGGAGACAGGCCCGGCCGTTGTACTAACATTCTTAACATAGAGAGACTCCTCCGTGCTGAGAGCTCGGGGAGACAGGCCCGGCCGTTGTACTAACATTCTTAACATAGAGAGACTCCTCCGTGCTGAGAGCTCGGGGAGACAGGCCCGGCCGTTGTGCTAACATTCTTAACATAGAGAGACTCCTCCGTGCTGAGAGCTAAGGAAGGTAGGTTGAGCAAAATAATCTTGTAAGATACGCATTGTTACTGTACTATTCCGAATCAAATTAGATAAAATTACATAAATTGCTCACAGTGATCATCTTAGCGTGAAATCAGATCCACTTATATCCGTGAGAAACGGTAAAAAACTGTCACATACTGCCATAGAACTTTCAACCTTAATGTTTAAAAAGTCTATGTAGGAGAGCCAAGGAATAAGCTAGTTCGTTCAGGACTCCGAAACGATACCACGGCCTCACAAAAAACCGGCGTAAAACAATCACAGCCATAGTTTATAATTATATTGACCTACCCTGGATTCGCACGGGTCGAATGCTGATACTAAATTTCTTCACTATTTTATGGAAGTTATTATACATTTAAACCTTCCTCTTCAATCATTCTATCTATTAAAAAAACCGCATCAAAATCCGTTGCGTAGTTTTAAAGATTTAAGCTTACATAGGGATATAGGGACCGAGAAAGCGACTATATTTTAAAGTATGTAGTGATAAAAAATTAGCATTCCGTAAGGCTGTATGTATATGGAGTCTTTTAAAATTGTTATATTTCAATGTTACATACATTCTAAGCAAATAAAAGTAAATGCATTCTATTCTATTCTATTCTATGGAGAAGAACGACAACGACTCTCCATTGTTACTCTTTCCAAGGATTCCAAATCTAATACACGATTCGAGAAACTGCCTTCCCCTTTTTTTGATAAGTAAAAATCATCAAGTGAATTCTCTTGCCTAGGGACTGTCAGACTCTTACTGACTAAAAATTACTCGTTCCTTCACCTGCTCAAATATGATGACGTCACATTTCTGTTTTTCATAATAGAAAAAATCGTAAAACAGTTTCATTATTTTTTTTTTTAATTTCCTTGGTTTACAAACGAGCAAACGGATTACCTGATGGTAAGCAATCAGCGCCGATTCAGGTAAGCAATCATGGAGATCCGCAACGAGTGCGTTGCTTACTTTTGGGGATTAGGATTAGGGATTTGGGGAAAAGAAAAATTGGGTCTCCGGTAACCTCGCAAAAACACAACGTGCCGAAACTTGGCTCTCGTTCCTTCACCTGCTCTAGGCTAGTGCGCGGTGCCTCATTACGCTTACCCCGCAACCCCGGCTGAACATCAGCCCTATAAGGCCCCGTCTGTGGTGGTCTATTGGCTCTTTGAGGCGCACATGGAACGCTACGCGCGGTACGCGTCGTGTCTGGTTACGGTCGGGTGGCTGAAGATCGTCTCTCGACCCCGACGCCTAGAGTGTCGCCTGCTGCGGCGGCTGGGGCGTGAGGAAGAGGATTGCTCCCTCACGCGGTCCACCTCCTTGCGAGCATCACTGCTTCACATAAAGAGGAGACAGCTTCCCAGTTTCTCTCGCTCAATAATTTTCCTAAGAACAAGGCAGGACTCAGCCCAAGCAGGGCACACCTGTGGTGGTATATTGGCTCTTTAAGTACATACGCTAGGGGCAAATACCGTCCCCTGTATGGGGCTTGATGGTATGTACTAGTATGTCGGAGTAAATAATCTCACGAACCACTTACACACGACAGCTTCACAGTCGTCATCACCATGCTCTGTTTAACTTGCAACATATGATATTATCTGCTTCCATATCCGGGTGGGGTCGATGACACGAACACTACCTACGGTGAGTAGCCTAAGTCATTTTTTTTAAAGGTTTCTTTTATGGTGTACTAGATTTTGCTCGCGTGGGTTTCTGCAGATTTTTGGTTTAAAAACTATCCTATGTCCTTTCTCGAGTTCCAAACTATGTCTGTACCAAATTTCATAGAAATAGGTTCAGTAGTTTAGGCGTGAAGAAAAGACAGACAGATAGAGTTATTTTCGCATTTATAATATTAGTTTGGATGTCGGCAAAGCCATGAGTATAAATGTGGATGGATGGAGAGGGAGAGGGAGACCAAAGAAAATATGGATGGATTGTGTGAGAAGTGATATGGAAGGCAGAGGAGTTAGTGATAGCGTGACGAGTGACAGGACAGAATGGAACAAAAAAACATATTGCGCCGACCCCAAATAAAACGGGACAAGGGCAGGAAGATGATGACGATGTCGGCAAAGGAGCAGACGGATTTCCTGATAGTAAGTCATCAGCACCGCCCATGGACACCCGCAACACCAAGAGTCACGAGCGCGTTGCCGACCTTTTCGTGGGGATAGGGGTTGTGGATATAAGGATCGGGAAAAGATAGGGGAAGAGGCGGAATTGGGCCTCCGGTAACCTCACTCACACGGCGAAACACAAGGCTCACAAGCTTCGCGAGGTATCTTAATAAAAATAGCCTATGTCCTATTCCGTAGTGTATTCTACGCATGTGCCAAATTTCATCCAGATTCGTTGAGCAGTTTTGGCATTATTGGGTTACAAACATCTAAAAATCGAAACTTTCGCATTTCAATATTAGTAAGATTAGTTAATAGCTTTACTAAGAGGACTGACGGACAGACTGGCTCTTTTTGATCGGTAAACTTTGTTTAACGTTAAAAAGTTTGATTTTGACTGTAACGAAAGCGTGGTATCACGCCTAGTTTCCGTGAGGTCGTGGTACATATCACACCGGTCTATTCCAACCAAAGCGTGTTTTAGGCTTTGAAAAACAAAATTGCAATGTTATCTAACAGTTTTTCCATTATTACTTTGAACAAGTTCATAGTAATTTAATGTTGGAAACACATAAATATTTTTCTATAATAAAATATGAAATCATACATGATGTAAGAAATATAAAATGTCAAATCAAATTTATTTACATTATGTAACTTATGTAACCAATCAAAACACGGTAGTTTCCAACTAGTCAAATTCAATACTTTTATTGAAATACTAGCTACTCTCGCGCGGTTTCACCCGCTGCTGCGGCTTCATTTAATCCTAGCGTGATGTTTTATAGCCTATAGCACTCAGGAACATTGTAGCTATCTATCAGTGAAAGAATTTTGGCAATCCGACCAGCGGTTCCAAAGATTACCCCCTACATACAAACTTACTGATTTTACCTCTTTATAATACCTACTATTAGTATAGATCAAACGATAAAACGATATATTACTACTAGCTTTTGCCCTCGACTTTGTTCGCGTGGAAGAGTGACTTCCTGCAGAGTTTTGGTATCAAAACTATCCTATGTCCTTTCTCGAGTTCTAAACTATGTCTGTACCAAATTTTACAGAAATCGGTTCTGTAGTTTAGGTGTGAAGAAAAGACAGATAGACACAGTTACTTTCGCATTTATAATATTAGTATAGATATACATAGATGTACGAATTGAGTATTTTCCTCGAATTGATCAAAAATAAAGTCCTTCAAGATTTTAATACAATAACACATTCATTTTTAAGTGTGGGAGAGCCATGCTTCGGCACGAATGGGTCGACTCGACCGGAGTGATACCACGGCCTCATAGAAAACCGGTGTAAAACAACCACAGCGTTGTGTTTCGCCGTGTGAGTGAGGTTACCGGAGGCCCAATCCTTCCTCTCCCCTAAATCTCCAAATCCCTAATCCCTAAAAGGTCGGCAACACACTTGTAACTCCTCCGTTGCAAGTGTCCATGGGTGGCGCTGATTGCTTACCATCAGGTAATCCGTCTGCTCGTTTGCCGATCTATTAAATATCATAATCATTCGTGCCGAAGCATGGCTCTCCCACACTATGACTATTATTTCTAACTATTTACCAAAAATGACCTTCTCAATCTTAAGAGCATTTACGCCGCACGGATTTTCATACAAACTTTTAAGCTAAAAATCTCGGAAACTACTGAACCGATTTTAATGAAACTCGGTACTTAGACGTCATATCATATATCAAGCGTCATATCATATATCAAGGTCTAAAAGCAATATTAAGTATATCTTCGGAATTATGTAAATATTATATTAATATTTTATTTAAATTTTTCATGTGATAGGTCGGCAAAAGAGCAGCCAAATTACTTGATGGTAAGCAATCAGCGCCGCCCATGGCCACCTACAACAACAGGGAACTTCTATTTGCCAGTGACTAATTAACGGCCCATCAATTTTGTCTGCCAGTATAGCTAGTATACTGTTAGGACTGTCTCTCAATCGCCACATTACGGATTCACATCGCTTGCGTATAATGGCAAAGAAATCATCTATTTTGGCTTCCGCAAACGTTCCATATGCGCTATACCATCGAGGCAGTCCCAACAGCATGCTCAGCGCATTATTATGCCTCAAAGTGCCAACAGACCACCACAGACGGGGCTCTATAGGGCTGATGTTCAGCCGGGGTTGCGGGGTAAGCGCAATGAGGCACCGTGGCCTCGGCCCAGAGCAGGAGGAGGAACAGGGGTATTTTAGTCAGTAAGAGTCTGACACTTTTCCCGCCTGACCCTGGGCGGGAGAAGTCATTTGATGATTTTCCCCTGACAAAAAAGCGCAAATGACTTAGCCCGTCTCTTCGCACCTAATTAGGTTTCATTGATATCGTTTAATTAATTTCTTACTTCTTTGATTTTGGTCTTGAAATTTTGTATGAAAACTCGCGTTTTGTATAATTCTAGAATTACTTTATTATGCATTTAATTGTTCTTTTGTCGCACGTAATCTGTGGCAGCTTCCGGTCTCATGAGAATACAATAGCGCCGAGTCTATTATTTAATATATTGTGTAATTACAATAGTTTATTATTATTAATTACCTATGCATGTCCGTAGTCTTATAATCTGAGGGTAAGAGTTAATCATATTATCACATCCTACTATCCTAGAATATTATAAATGTGTAAGTTTGTGAAATGTAAATGTAACTCCTCCGTTGCGGCTTGGGCGGCGCTGATTGCTTACCATCAGGTAATCCGTCAGCTCGTTTGCCGACCTATTACAAAAAAAGAACTTAAGACTTTGATAATTTCAAAGGTTACCTGCCATTCAGGGATTGAGTATTTGGGGATTTAAGGGTGGAAGGGGACTTCCAGTAACCTTACTCATACCGAAATATAATGCATAGTAGTTTCACGTAAGTTTTTACCCCACTACTGCAAAGCAAAAGGAGGGTTATGATTTGGACAGGCTATGTATCTATGTATGTATGTTCATCTGTTCCCTCCTAACTTCTAAACTACTTATCAAAATTCGACAAATGCCATAGCATTAATAACGTCTTAATTGTCCGCTGGTTATAGGATATATCATTTGAAAGCGCTTTACTTAACAATGTTTTAGAAGTTGAAGGACTTAATTTATAAATACGGTTCTTTAAAAAAAATATGCGCGACTGAATCGTAAATACGTGTTATAGTTTAGAATTATTTTGCATGTTATTAATGTAACTATATATAGATATTTATTTACTTGTTAATGTGACTCATTTTAATTTATTTTGTAGCAACCATTATTTGATTTGAATTATACAAGCCAGCTTCGCACAGGTAGGCAATGCTTATACTAAATTTGTTTACTATTTAATGGATGTTATTATACATATAAACCTTCCTCTTCAATCGCTCTGCCTATTAAAAACCTCATCAAAATCCGTTGCGTAGTTTTAAAGATTTAAGCATACATAGGGATATAGGGACAGAGAAAGCGACTTTGTTTTAGAACTTAATGTTTAAAAATGTAATTTTAGAGTTATTTAAATAAATATGTGAAATAAGAAATCCCGATATAAGTAAATGTTACGTTTATACCAACCATTACGTGTCAGTATTTGCTACCGATTGACTTGACGCGCAGCTCAGAAAATTATAATTACAAATCGGCTGTTTAATTAACTTTTAAAATAGTTCAAGCTACATACGATTCGATTTTGTTTCGGTATGTGTAAATCGGTTCCAATTAAAATCTGTTTCACGTGTCTTCCTTGCAGCGAGTCGCGGGTCCGATTCTCGCACGGAACAACTTTTTGTGTGATCCACAAATTGTTGTTCCGGGTCTTTTTTTGTGAGGGGAAATCATCAAATGACTTCTCCCGCCCAGGGTCGGGCGTGAGGGAGTGTCAGACTCTTACTGACTAAAAACACACCTGTTCCTCCTCCTGCCCTGGGCCGAGGTCGCGGTGCCTCATTGCGCTTACCCCGCAACCCCGGATGAACATCAGCCCTATAGGGCCCCGTCGGTGGTGGTCTATTGGCTCTTTGAGGAGCGCGAGGAAGGCTACGCGCCGTACGCTCGGGTCTGCTTCTGGTCGGTCGGGTCTACCCTTACTCGTCGTCCGCAGAGGATGTGATGTTTATGTAAAATTGTATGTTTGTAAACGCACCCACGACACAGGAGAATAAATTATTTATCTATTGAAGTAATTTTCTTTATCCATTTCTTTTGGCAAGTATTAGTGTTACACTGTCCTCACATAATGCAATTAAATTAATGTAAGAAATAAATGAATTGTGACACTGATTTAAAAAGAGTAACCATGGAGTTTCTTGCTCGTTCTTCTCCATCGGAATCTACACTTTGGAACGAGCAAATAGCTTCACTAAGAGGACTGACCGACAGACTGACACTTTTTATCAAGAAATCCTTGTTTGACGTTTAAAAATAACTAGGTACATGGTCTGATAGAAATAAATAAATTTTGTGTGTGTGTCTGTTTAAGTGTGGGAGAGCCATGCTTCGGCACGAAGGCGTCGGTTCGACCGGAGTGATAGTACGGCCTCACAGAAAACCGGCGTGGAACAACCACAGCGTTGTGTTTCGCCGGGTGAGTAAGGTTGCTGGAGGCCCAAATCTCTCCCCCCAATCCCCAATTCTCAAATCCCCTACTATCCTTTAATCCCTAATAACCCACAAGAGGTCGGCAACGCACTTGTAGTAACTCCTTTGGTATTACGGGTGTCCATGGGCGGCGCTGATTGCTTCATCATCATCAGCCTATAAGTGCCCACTGCTGAGCAAAGGCCTCTTCTCATACGGAGAAGGTTTGAGCATTAATCACCACGCTTGCTCAATGCGGATTGGCGATTTCAAACTTATAATTAGAAATTATAAGTCCAGGTTTCCTCACGATGTTTACCTTCACCGTATGTCAGTGGTGTCTAAATAGCTGATTGCTTACCAGCGTTGTGTTTCGCCGTGTGAGTGAGGTTACCGGAGGCCCAATCCTTCCCCTCCCCCAATCCCTCCTCAATCCCTTAATCTCCAAATCCCTAATCCCTAAAAGGTCGGCAACGCACTCGTTACTTCTCCGTTGCGGCTGTCCATGGGCGGCGCTGATTGCTTACCATCAGGTAATCCGTCTGCTCGTTTACCGACTTAGATAGTTTTGTCTTTGTAGAAAAAAAAATCTCTTTAAGTAACTGTCGCCCTGATTCTTGTATTGAAAAGTAGATCAAGTAGCGCACAACATGTTAACAAATCTTATGTGTTAATTTTGTATGCACACGCGAGCGACTCAACGCGTAAACGGACGTCTCTATTCTTATCTCTATAAGGACCATATTCCCGTACCTACAGCTACTGTTCAGAAACGTCATGTGAAACGATGTTTATGCTAAAAGCGGTCTAATTAACTTTCTTGAAATATGTAAGGTAAATATTTTCCATTTTAACGCTTCTAATATTTAGGTATGTTTTATGTAGGTCTATTAACATTTTCTTATACAAATACTAGCCACCCGACCCGGCTTTGCACTGTCGAAATACTGATACTAAATTTCTCCACTATTGTAAAGAGGTATTGTAAGTTTGTATGTAGAGGGTAATCTTTGGAACCGCTGGTCGGATTCCCAAAATTCTTTCACTGATAGATAGCTACAACGTTCCTGAGTGTTAACCAAATAATATAATAAATATTTATATATTAAATATAATATTATAAATGCGAAAGTAACTCTGTCTGTCTGTCTTTCCTTCACGCCTAAACTACTGAACCGATTTCTGTGATAATTTGTACAGACATAGTTTGAAATTGGAACTCGAGAAAGGACATAGGATAGTTTTTATACCAAAAAATCTGCAGGAAGTCACTATTCCACGCGAACGGAGTCGCGGACTAGAGCTAGTATACAATAAGCGCATATGGACAATCGTAATACCAAAGGACTACAAGTGCGTTGAAAGAAGAGAAAGAAAGAAAGAAAGAAAAACGTTTATTTTCGCGCACACACATAAAACAAAAATACAAAAAAAAGAGAAGAAAATAAAATAATACAAAAAATTTTAAAAAAATAATGACAAATGAAAACAAAAACAAAAAAGTTTTGTCTATGGTCCACAGAGTAAACATTATGCGCGAGGTCACGTGTATTTTTGTTATCTGTGGACCATAAAGACAAGATTGTAACATTTGTGTTTGTAACAAACAATAACAAAAAACATATACATATTAATTTAATTAAGTTGATAATTTCCTCCTTCATCATCAGCCTATAAGTGCCCACTGCTGAGCAAAGGCCTCTTCTCACACGGAGAAGGTTAGAGCATTAATCACCACGCTTGCTCAAGGCGATTTCAAACTGATAATTAGAAATTATAAGTCCAGGTTTCCTCACGATGTTTACCTTCACCGTATGTCAGTGGTGTCTAAATAATCATAATAATTTCCTCCTTACTACCGTTATAACAATATAATGTGTTACGAGCGGAAAAAATGGACGTTGTCAGCCTCTTGTGGGTTATAAGGCATCGATTATGGGGGGAGGATGGGACTCTGACAACCTCTATCATACGGCGAAACACGACATTGATTTACAATGCATTTTTATTTATGTGATAGGTCGGCAAACGAGCTGACGGATTACCTGATGGTAAGCTATCAACGCCGTCCATGGACACCGGCAACGAAAGAGTTACGAGTGCGTTGCCGACCTTTTAGGGATTAGGGTTTTGGAGATTTAGGGATTGGGGGAGGGGAAGGATTGGGCCTCCAGTAACCTTACTCACACGGAAAAACACTCAACTGTCGTTGCTTCTCGCCGGTTTTCTGTGAGGCCGTGGTATCACTCCGGTCGAGCCGACCCATTCGTGCCGAAACATGGCTCTCCCACACTTAAACGCTTATTAGTGTTTACAATGTAGATTTGTCAACACATAATACCTAATATGTATACATCAATAATTTAATATGGTTAATGGTGATAATGCGGTAGTTTCCAACTAGTCAAATTCAATACTTTTATCCAAATGTCAAAACCTATACTTTTCTATGAAATTTGTATGAACAACTGAGTTATGATGTCATAGTATTTTTGCGTCAAATAGCTTACTTATTTCTTACTAATTATCTACAAAATATCTAAAACTTAGTGTATCGATAACCGGGGTTGCGGGGTAAGCGCAATGAGGTACCGCGACCTCGGCACAGAGCAGGAGAAGGAACAGGGGGGTTTTTAGTCAGTAAGAGTCTGACACTCCCTCCCGCCCGGACCTGGGCGGGAGAAGTCATTTGATGATTTTCCCCTCACAATAAAAAAGTGTATCGATCGATCGATGAATAAAAGTAAAAGCGCAGTTATTTTTCAATATTTTGTTGTATTGAAACGTCGAATTAATTTATTTTTGACCTAGGAAACTACCTCATTGCACTGGAATGCAAAACAAGTGAGAATTTTAACTGATTGGCTGCACGGCTGCCACTTAACGCAACAATGACTTCTCCCGCCCAGGGTAAGGCGAGAGAGAGTGTCAGACACTTACTGACTAATCCACCCCCGAGGCCGCGGCGCCTTATTGCGCTAGCCCCTAAACCCCTTAATATAATCAGCTGAACCGTTGTATTTAGGGCTGATTTTTCAATGGTTAGATAAAAGTTACCTGGGGAATAATTATGATGCTGTCGCGTCACAATGTTTGTATAAGACAGTGACAGCAACAATTTTATTCCTTAGATAACATTTATCTGACTATTGAAAAATGAGTCCTAATTAAACACTTATTTATTTAGAAATTAAAACCAGTCCTGGTTTTGCGCGGATGCAAAGCTGATACTAAATTTTTCCACTATTTAATGGATGTTATCCAAACTAATATTATAAATGCGAAACTAATATTATAACTCTGTCTGTCCGCCTGTCTTTTCCTCACGTCTGAACTACTGAACATATTTGTATGAAATATGATACAGACATTACCTAGTTTGGAACTCGAGAAAGGACATAGGATAGTTTTTAACCAAAAATCTGCAGGAAGTCACTATTCCACGCGAACAAAGTCGCGGGCATAAGCTAGTTATACATATAAACTTTCCTCTTCAATAACTCTATCCATTAAAAACACCGCATCAAAATCCGTTGCGTAGTTTTGAAGATTTAAGCGTACATAGAAATATAGGGACAGAAAAAGCGACTTTGTTTTTAACTATGTAGCGATTACGATAGAACAAATAGTTAAAAAAACACACACAAACCTCAAAATGAAACGTAAAACCATTCAATGAAAACACTTTTGTAGGTACACACTAATTAATAATTAATATTGTAAATTCGTTTCTTTAATTAATTCAATACAGTCGATCGTAAAAATATATGTCGCGCGCGATTTCAACCGACGTGCGTTCACCGCGACTTCTCAACACTCACTGACACACACAAAAGACAAAATCATTCTCGCGAAATACTGTTACTTTACATACCTATAAACCTACCAACTTGTAAAAGCCGTCGCACGGTTTCCGTACTAGTGAAAGTCTAAACAATTTTATCTCAATTACGAAGCTACTAGCGACGTTCTTAACTGCATTTTTAAATTTGTTGGGTTTTAGTTCTTAATATGTAATTATGTAGGTCGAAGAGATTTTTGCATAACGACATTAGATTTGCAATGTTTTATTATAAATAATCTTTAAGATTGGTTTTTTAAACTTTATTCGACACTACATCAATACTCATTACTCAATATATTTATTGCATTCCACAATGTGAACTTAGGTGGTAGGGTACATAAGGATTTACATACTTATATTAGTTTAGGAGCATTGTGGGCCCTGTCGGGCATAACAATATTAGTATTTTTTTATGAGGAGGGCTAGTATAAATATATGTTTACAATTTTTCATAATTTTTATGTAGGTAGGCTTATTATTATAATTGGTATTAGGTATAGATTATAGTGTCCTTTTTATTATTGTAGTTTTTTTTATTAAATATATCATTTAAATATTCCTGTACATTATAATAGCATTTATGGATTAAAAGTTTTTTTAAAATTTATTTATTAAGATATTATATTTTTGTTCATTTTTAATGTCATCTGGTAATTTATTATATATTTTACCTGCCATTACTGAAGTGCTTGTGGAGTGTATTTTTAGCTTAGAACCTGGTAGGATTAGTCTATTTCTGTGTCGTAGGGTGAAGGGAGTTTGTAGGTTTTCGCGTGTAATGTAGAGTTTTTACCTATTTCTAACAAATTTACACGTTTTCAGGATGTATATGAAAGGTAGTGTTAGAAGTTTGAGTTCTTGGAAATGGGGTTTGCAGCTCTCTATATTGTCTATTCTATTCTAATTAGTCGTTTTTGGAGTATGAAAAGTGTTTGTGCGTCTGTGCTATTTCCCCATAAAATTACGTCGTAGTTAAACCATCACTTTCACATTGAGTGTGGGAGAGCCATGCTTCGGAACGAATGGGTCGGCTCGACCGGAGTGATACCACGGCCTCACAGAAAACCGGCGTGAAACAACCACAGCGTTGTGTTTCGCCGTGTGAGTGAGGTTACCGGAGGCCCAATCCTTCCCCTCCCCCAATCCCTCCTCAATCCCTTAATCTTCAAATCCCTAATCCCTAAAAGGTCGGCAACGCACTCGTAACTCCTCCGTTGCGAGTGTCCATGGGCGGCGCTGATTGCTTCCCATCAGGTAATCCGTCTGCTCGTTTGCCGACCTATTACATATAAAAAAAAATCACTACATAGTATAAAACAAAGTCGCTTTCTCGGTCCCTGTATCCCTAGGTATGCTTAAATCTTTAAAACTACGCAACGGATTTTGATGCGGTTTTTTATAGTGTCAGTGTCAGTCCACGGCTTACTAAGACCCTCGCCTGACGGCTAAATGCGCCTTAGCGGTAATCACCAACTTTACACACTTGTATCATAATAATAATATACTGTTATAATTTGTCTGTCTTTACCAGTCACAGGACCACAGGGTCCCGGTCATTTGGGAGGCGTGCGAGGGGCCGGAGCCAACTGCGCAGAGGCCTTTTAGACAACTTTCATCTAAATGAAATGGGACACAAACCGGCGACTATCCCTGTATGCGCTATGGAAATGCACCCAAGGACAGTCCCCCGATAGTATAATAAAACTAGCTTTTGCCCGCGACTTCGTTCGCGTGGTAATAAGTAAGAAATAAGCACTGCAGAGCCCTAATCATAGGTCTATAGGTAGCTACTGCAGTATGCTCCTATAAACTACATTTAACGATCTTTTTCCTTCAGCATAAACATGCAGATTCTTCGCTTTGGAAACGTAAGCGCAAAAAATGTGTTGTTTTACGACCTAACATTAGAAACCTCAAAAATTGTAGCCTATTAGTTATTCTGATGTATAAGCTATATTGTGGTAAAGTTTCATTTAAATCCATTCAGTAGTTTTTACGTGAAAGAGTAACAAACATCCATACATCCATACTTACAAACTTTCGCCTTTGTAATAGTAGGAGGATTTTATAGTGTGTCATTGAGAAAATCCTGCACAGAGTAATAAAATTTATCTACAAGTAATTCTGTAAAACATTTTTTAAATTTCAGTATAGGTAAGTTTTTAAGTTGGTCAGGAATGGTCAGGAATTTTATTGTAAACAATAGGAGCCATACAGCACGTCGATTCTATAAAATTTGTTTGATTTTGAATCTTGTTCGAGTGCGAAGTGAGTGTCGAAGTGACGGGGTAATTAAATTTTAGAATGACACTTTTAACGTCATTTCATACTTTATCTATCAAAATGTTGCTGTCAATTTAGTTCAACTCGCAAGTGTACTACTACTCACAGCGGATTCAGATTCGAAGTTTAGAATGGAGTCTTACAGAATCACACCCCAGATCACACTTTTTTTTAGTAGGCTAATTTTAAGTACACCAGTGGATGACGCTTTCTGTTGGGAGTTACTGGTACTAAAAACTGCTATGTCTAGGATATAGAGACTTGAATATAGGTACGCAGCTATCAGTTACTCTTTTTTTTTGTGATGGGAGCTCTCTTTGCGAGCTTGACTGCTTCACAAAAGTAGGAGACGGCATCCCAGTTCCTCTCACTCCGCACCATGGCCTCGACTAAGGCCGGGCGCGAGAGGTCGCCGCCGCCGATCACTTCCCTGAGGATACGGCGGTGCTCAGCCCAGGCAGGGCATACCGCTACCGTATGCTCCACCGTATCCTCTAGGTGGTCCTCACAATGACGATACTCGGGCGTTTCCTCCCGCTGGATCCGAAACAGGAACCTACCGAAGCTGCCGTGCCCGGTAAGCACCTGCGTCAGACGGAAGGTGAGGACGCCGTGGCGTCTCTCAAGCCACTCCTCAAAGAGGGGTCTTACCGCTGCTATAGTAGCGTGATCAGTTACTCTAAGGCCAAACATTGCTCTCAAGCATCGTTTCGATAGTGTAGGAATATTGCGGATAATGGAAACAAGGGATAAGGCTATGGTTGGATGTTGATATGGACTGGTATGATGGGAACTATGGAAGGACTATGGGACCTGCCGAAACCTCACCTCATTTCTTATTGTAATTACTTCTCAGATAGCGAATGTCCGCTTCATCAATGTTTTTTAAAATTTCAGTTTGCAGTTTTATGTTATGGCCTATTTTCAAATCTAAATTAATTTTTTTCGTATATTCCAAGGCTCAAGCGTTCATTGCTAACCACGAGCAGGTACTTAATAAGTAATTATGTTGAAAATAAAAATTACATTTGCTCTTTTTGGATAACCTAAATGTCAATTACCTTAACCTAACTCAGTCAAAATATTTAGTACTAGCTACTGTCGCGCTGTTTCATTCGCTACACTGTTATGTAGGGGGTAATCTTTGGAACCGCTGGTCGGATTGCCAAAATTCTTTCACGGATAGATAGTTACAATGTTCCTGAGTGCTATAGGCTATAAAACATCACGCTAAGATTAAATGGAGCCGAGTAGCGAGTGAAACCACGCGAGAGTAGCTAGTTAATTATAAGTATAGATCACAGTGCCCTTTAGTTGGACGGAGCATACCCAAAACCAGCACGTCGATTCTATAAAAATTGTTTGATTTTGAATCGTGTTCGAGTGCGAAGTAAGCGTCGAAATGACGGGGAAATTAAATTTTAGAATGTCACTTTTAACGTCATTTCATACTTTATCTATCAAAATGTTGCTGTCAATTTAGTTCAACTCGCAAGTGTAGCGCTAGTGTACTACTACTCACAGCGGATTCAGATTCGAAGTTTAGAATGAAGTCTTACTGAATCACACCCCAGATGAAACAGTTTTTATTTAAATAATATGTCTAAAAGAGAGAACTCTGTGCTATCTATGGACCTCGCTAAATGGCATCGGCAACCTTATCGGGGTCAGACGTTCGAAGATTACGAGATTCAGAAATTGGGGATGGGGGGACTGATTGGAAATTGGTTCCCTTTAACTTCACTTTTTTGTTATGTGATAGGTAGGTCAGGACTGAGCAGACGGATTACCTGATGGTAAGCAATCAGCACCGCAACAATGAAGGAGTTACGAGTGCATTGCTGACCTTCTGGGGATTAGGGGATGGGGACAGGAGGAAAGGTTGGGCCTCCGGTAACCTCACTCACACGGCGAAACACAACGCTGTGGTTATTTCACGCCGAATTTCTGTGAGGCCGTGGTATCACTATTCAATTTAAATGGGAATGAAAAGAAACGCCAAACTAATGCCAATGTATTTATTACATACGAATAATGTTTCTCTAATTATTTTAATCTTCTCTTGAAGAAACGAAGCACGCTGAACGTCTTGAGTCACTGAAAAAGAAAAATACTATTATTTTTTGGCGGACGGATCACCTGATGGTAAAAGACATAGTATAAAGAGAAGGGAAGTAGGTTATGTTCATACAAACGCACCGTGCGCGGCTTGTATGTGTGCGCCATAGTATCTACGCGTCGACACACGCACACTGTAACAAAATCTCGACCCGTTTCTCAGTGCGCCAGTCGGGGCTAACACTGCACGAGGTTCGCGCGTCAAATTATACTTGCAAAAGTTATTTATAAACATGCGAATATATTACACATTAAAGTTTAATAACAAGGCGTTTCTTAATATTCGAAATCGACGAAAGTAAAGTATTTTTCTGTAGCTAATTTGTAATTTTGTAATAAATGTATGATTTAATACCTAGTTCTATTTGTATTATTTATGTTTGTATTAATTAAAAATAAATATGGTCCTTTATGTTTAAAAATACTACATTACGCCTAAAAATTACAATGAGAAAATAATGTTGACACTAGCTCTTAGTCTATGTTACCGCCTGTGCCATCTAGCGACATAAAGAGTCACTCACACACACTCACAAACCCTGTACCCAGACAATACAAGTAAAAAATACAACTTCCCGACCCTTGCCAATTTATAGGCACTGAATTAAAATTTTGCTGAAAGTGACAACCCTAATACAGTCAAAAAAAGTCAAATCAAATGTCAAAAATCATTTATTCCAATTAGACCTTCACAGGCACTTTTGAACGTCAAACAAAAATTTTGAAGATATAGTGTCAGTCTGTCGGTCAGTCCTTTTAGTGAAGCTATTTGCTCGTTCCAAAGTGTAGATTCCGATGGAGAAGAACAAGCAAGAAACTCCATGGTTACTCTTTTTAAATCAGTTTCACATACAGATTCCTTTTACAAACAGTTGGTTCAATTATGTGAGAACAGTGTAAACACTAATATTTATTCAAATATAAAAATAAAGTAACCTTAAGGACAATAGACAGTCTGGAGCTGACCAGTCCCAACTGACGGCGCCCGTTCACGAACATGACACGTACACCAGCATCGCCAAACTCAACCATATTATAGGGAATTAAGCGATCCAGCGCCCATGCCACCGCCAGTGTGACCTTTCAGTGAGCATGACAACTCCAAGCTGTTACAAGGACCGACATTCTGCTAGTCTAAACAATTGTAATAGGTTACAGGGCAATTATATCGCGGATTGGGCCGGAGATAGCCTGCTGCCCTTCTCTTTAGACTATGGTAAGAGATCTCCACCCATGGACACCCGCAATACCTCATTTGCCGAAGTATAACTTTAAAAAAGTGTTTTTAATGTATGTTAATATGTAATTAACATACACTAGTGATGTAACGAATATTCTCATTCGCATTCGCATTCGCGAATATCCGCATATTTTTCAATATTCGCATTCGCAAAAATTGTGCGAATATTTAGCGAATGTTTTTGATAATCAAAAAGGAAATTATTATATGCATGTATATGAAATAATAATACATTAGATCACACTTAGATATTTTCATTAAATCATACTTCTACATTCTAAAAAAATCTCATTTATGGGAAAATGACTTCTTCAGATCTGATCAAATCTAACATTAAACAGCCTTGTTAGGTAGTTGTACTATGTAAGGTTTGCATTCATTTAGAAGTACATTATTACTTTACTACTATTTTAAAATAAAGTATACAATTTCTATATACCAAATAACTAAACTATACCACTTGTAACAAAATTAATAAACTAAAAATATCTAATGTAAAAAAAAATAATGTCAAACACTTTATGCGCGCTTTATTTGAAATTTTAAAATATTCGCATTCGCATTCGCGAATGTGAAAAATTCAACATTCGTTACATAACTAACACATGTTTTTGTTATAATTATGATGGTTGTTGTTTGTTGTTTTTTTTTAACAACTTGTCTCTGCATTGTTCTCAAATAAGGGTACAATAATGTATACTATAAATGTTATATTATTGAAATAGTAAAAGATTTTTTTTAAAAAGAGTACCGAGTGGTGTTTCTTGCTCGTTCTTCTCCATTCGAATCTACAATTTGGAATGAGCACCTAGCTTCACTGACGAACAGACTGACAGACTACTTCTCTATTTTGACGTTTCAAAAGTACCTACATATTTATGGTTTAGTTGGAATAAATGATTTTGACGTTTGAATTTTTTTTTACTTTTTCTCGTTTCTCAAAATTTTTATTTGTAATATGTCT